CTTACCCTCGGCAGGTTTGCGGAATTCCCTCGGGCTTCGCCCTCGGGAATTCCGCAAACCTGCCTCGGGTTACGGGGCCATTTAATCACTAATCTCCCTCAAGCCATGCTATTACTTATAAATAGATGACAACTCAATGAAGATGCACCCCCTGCATCCGTCGATGGTCTCACTCCGCTCCATCATCAGTAGCCATTCAAAACTCCTTCGCCCATAATTCGCTGTACTTAATTGTTAAATAACTTGTTCATACATACATAACGTTCTGCTTCCTCTGACGTTAACGTATTTGCATCTGGTGGTAATGGAGGGCCGGGTCTGCTTGGGACATTTGAAGCATTAGCACGTGACTGTCGTACTGTGAGAATATGATTAAGTGTATTCAAAACACAGTTGTAACAGCGTTGCCTACAAAAATATAAACTTAAAAAGTTTCATCCCTGCCGTCTAGATCCTGCTATTGAATGCAAAAATTATTTTTTGAATGATGCAAACTGATGCAAACACTATCTGTGAGCTTACTAGATTCCCCTTATTACGTTTTCGCAGCGCTTTGCATTGTGGTTATAGTGGTATCGCTGATATTCAAGATGGCTTATTTTTTGTCCTGACCCGTGCAAGAACTTTTAAAAAAGTTAGGGTCAGGTGCGCGATAGCCAACAACAAAATATTCGCGAAAACATTCAATATTTTCATTCGAGGCCGCTTTCTTTATCAGTGATACCACTATAACCACAATGCTAAGCGCCACGAAAACGTAATAAGGGGAATCATCAATTGAATATGCCTATTAAAATTGGTTATAAATTTAAATGAACTTCAATAAATTTTATATTTTTGAGAAAATACTATGAGTTGCATTATGCATTTTTTCTTCCTGTAAAAATAGATGCTTCTGTGTTCATTCAACGTATGTCGGTAATTTAGCTTGAATTTGGTGACTTTATTTATGGCTTTGATAGCTGAGCAAGTAGTTGTAGACAATCCAATTCGTGCGTGCTCGCAGAGACGACGAGTCAGATAGACAATGGAGAGTTGAAAGCAAAATTAAGAGACTGATCGCTTCCTATGGTTGGGGGAGGGCACCGAAGATAGGTTTGCGTGAGCAACGTTTTACTTGAGAGAAACCTGACATACCTTTTCAAAAAAGCATCGTATCCCAGACCAGGTTGTTCTGGCTGACCACTTTCATAATAGTGAAGAGCAAGATTCTGAGGATCTCTCACTGACGCTGTATGAACAGCTAGCTCCACGATGCCGTCAAAGAAACGTACTAGATAACATGTAATAGACATTATTTCTTTATTTGCCTCAATTGGATGATAGTTAAGACAATATGTTTGTAATATTTTTCATATGTTTGTCAAGGTTCATAGAGGGGTGGGCACTCCGTCAATCTTCAGTACAAAACAGGTCCACATTACCTGAAGTTTACCAAAATTTCCATAGGCGAGTGAAAGGTTGGGGTGAATGAATTCGCACTCAAGAAAAAGTGAGTGTCGACAAGTGGTTATGAATACGCTAATATGAATTTTTGTGCTGGTGTTGTGTACTCAGGTGAATAATATGTTTGCGATGTTACTCTGAGTGCATATCCACACCGGGCGAGCTTGAAAAATATGCCCGGCCACGGTGGGA